GTTGCCTGGGCTAGGGTGCAGTGGTGTCATCATAGCTCACTGCAATCTTAAGGTCCTGGGCTCAGACAATCCTCCTGCCTCAGCCTCCCGAGTAGCTGAGACTACGGTGTGTGTCACCACTCCCAGCTAATTTTTTCTATTTTTAGCAGAGATGGGGTCTCACTCTTGCTCAGGCTGGTCTTGAGCTCCTGACCTCAAGCAATCCTCCTGCCTCGGCCTCCCAGAGTGCTAGGATTACAGGCGTGAGCCACCAGGACAAGCTCAAATATTTTAATATTTTTAAGTTGATTCTACTGATTAGATTTCCTATTTCCATTATATTTCAATTAATCTAAATATTATTTGTTCCTTGGGAATAGGAATTAACAAAAGCAGAGATTTCTCCAAGTTAATGACATCCTACCACAATATTTCACGGCCACAATAGGAGAGTACTTACCACGATAAGGGCTGTTTTGTGGAAAATGCTCTCTGGAAGGTCAACAGCTTGTGCAAGTTAACTCCACAACTGAACTTTGAGGCATTGTCTGAGGTGTTAAGGTGAAGTGGTCTGGAACTGTTTAGGATTCAGGGGAAATGGATTTGCCATAATAAAGGGAAACTTTAAGATAAATAGGTTATCAAGAAGGATGTACTTTTCTTTAGTGACAAATGTGTAGATTCTATCCATTGATTTCAAAACGTTAAAGTTAATCTCTTTAAAGTTAATCTATAAACAATTTTGACACGTTTGTGAAGATCTTCTAAAATGGAATCCTTAGAGAAGTAGAAGGTGAAAGTCAAGTAGAACTTTGTTTATTATTACTCAAGTTTAATAATAGCCAAACATCACTTTGTATAAGCAGTTTACTTACATTATCTGGTTAACCCTTGCAAATAATGCTCCAAGATAGGTGTATTTAACTATTCGTTTTATAAAACAGGAGAAAATTGAGAGGCAATGAGGCTAAATAGCCTGACCAAAGGTCCTATGAGGACATGGAAAGGCAAAATTTGAGCCCAGACAAGTATGACTGCAAAGATCAATTTTTACCCTGAACATTGTACTGACTCCACACTACACGTCAGTAATCTTGACCTCCCTCCAGCACTGACTCCCAGCTCTATGTAGGGCACATATAGTTTAACATAACCCGCCCACCATACCCTTGCTTTTGGGAGGCAAAGCAGAAAGAACTTCAGTTTAATATTCTAACTCGGACTGAATCTTTAATTCACTATTATGTTTTTAACTTAGTTATTTCTTTACCTGTTAAATGGGGGAAAACTATTAATAATACTTTATTACTTAATAATAATACCTCAGAATGCTGCTATGAATATTGAGATAACACATGTGAAAGTGCTTATAACAGTGCTTGGCAAATAATAGATATTTAATAAATATCAGTTTCCTTTCTTCCTTCCCTTGCAAGACAAAAGTTGTCCTTCCTTGCAAAGTCAGTTTACATGAAAATGTTTTCATGGCTCTCAGCTTAACACAGAATCCTTGGAAATTAACTCACTAAACCCAATGGACCTTAGACATGGGATCCAAAGATTTGCATATCCCAGGCTTTGGCAGGGCATACTGGGGGAAGCCAAAATAGAAGTCGATATACTTCTGTATCCTTTCTTTTCTGGATTTGGGCAGACTTTTTATTGTCTTGCAGTTTCTACAACTGTGGCTTTTCTTTCATCTCTCCTACATAACCTTGCCCCCCAACTCCAAAATACATTTTTACATGTATTTTAGGACTCTAGCTCAAACTGCTTTTATGCCATTTCTCAAAGTTGTCTTATCATTTTCTGCTCCCCCCTTTTTCTCCTGCCAGGCTCTCCAACCCTCTACCAAATATTTATTTAAGGAACTTGTAGCCTCAAGACCAAGTCCAATGACTTCTACTTCATGCATCTGCTCTGACCACTCTGGTTGGAAGAGACCTCACCATCTACTACGCCACTGTAATGTAGTATCACTCCACTCACAGACTGCAGACGCTTTGTCTCTTGAGGCTGAAAATTGACTGAATGGAATTATGGTTTAAAATGGCATCTGATTAGCAATCCGTAAAGCAACCTCTTCTAACTCCTTACTGAAATATCTACAAAACCAGCAAAGGCCAATTCTCACAAATATACTGAAACTTAAGACCAATAGAAAAACCATTATCAAAATCAGGAAAGATTTTAAATCAATTTAAAGGCCAGAAGAACTAGATTGAGAAACTTTAAAAACTACTTTCCCACTAAAAATAGATAAAAATTCTTGATCTGAAAGTAGAACCATTCTTTGCTCCTTCTCAACTGTTTGCCTCCTACTCAGAAACAAAGGAGCCCTTTAAATCAACAACAAAAACAACCAAAAAAAAAACAAAAAGTGTAAGGCAAACATTTCCCTATCAAATAGGTAATATTTTATGGGGCATCCATAAAAATGAATGCTATCCTTTAATCCCTAATCTAGTGATCCAATTGAGTTAAGAATAATAATAGGATGAGAAAAGGTTTTTCAGGGACAAAAAAATAAAATAAGCATGTCAATATTAATTTTTTAAAAGTCAGATGTGAGGCCAAATATAAAATTAATGGGAAATAAGGTAATATTGATAAAATTTACAGTGAAGCTGTAATTATGAATCCCTTCAAATAACACAATGGCTGAAATGTATAAGGTAAAAACTGTTAAAAGTTAAAAGAAAAATAATAAACACAATTATTGTAGAAGACTCACATATATCTCTTTTTTTCTATAAATTCAATAGGAAAAAAGTAAGAAAGATTAGAATACAGTAATATCTTTAATAATACACAATAGCATAATAAATAATGTTACATGTGTATATATATATATATATGTGCATATAGATAGACATATACATACATAATCAAACTCATTGCCAGCAAAAACATCTGTTAACTATGATAAATATTTAGAACATTTAGAAATATTTATCATAGTGTTTATCTCAAAGAAAGAATCAAGAAATTCCAACTATTAGAAGTCAAGCCATTCTCTAATTTCCATAAATTTCAACTAGAAATTAATAAGGAAATTAACTGTCCAAACACATAAATAACCACCAAATTCAAGTGGAAATTAAAACCTCAATTACAAACAATTTAGGAATTAACAAAAACAATGATATTGCATATCAAACTATAGAATGATACCAAAGCTGCAACCAGAGGCAGATGCAGGAGTAAAATATTGATAGGTTTTTGTTGTTGTTGTTGTTGTTGTTGTATATTCTGATAATTTTACATTCTTTAAAATTAAGCTCAAGCCACTAGAATATTTCTTAATGTAGTATTCCACACTAAGTATTAAAACACTATTCAGAGGAAATAATCTACTGGATCTAGTCTACTGTTATTGTCTCTACTCTTATTTTGACCTGTTGTCCCCTGCTCTCCACTTCCTTGAGACACCAATCACTAGGCACCGTACTTGATCTCTTGACACACACCAACAGCCCCTTTAAATCTAACAATTCTTATGGACACAATCTCTGACTTTGATCCTCCATCTCTCACATTTATAAATATCTCTCATTTTATAGTTACTCCTTGGTTCTACACAGCTAATATTACTTGTAAAAGGCACTCACACCTTCTATCAGGACACGAGGAGTCTTACAAGTTTTTAGGACCCCACCTGGCCTCCCAACAAGAGTAGGGCAATTACAAAGGGAAGATAAATTGTAGCTCATTTTAAGAGTCTATGATTTCTACGGCCTCCTATAAGTTTACCACACACACACAAGCCCCCGTACACACAGACATGCATACATACATATATACATAAATAGCGGATACAGACACTATCTTTTAGGGATTCGTTCAGAAGTTATAAAAGATATATATATTTTTAAACTTTTAAATTTAATTTCAAAGGCAATAACTGGAACTAAAATAATGAGATTATTTTTTTCTCTGAGTTCCCTGTGCCCAGTAAAATCATGAGTATGTTATATTGAATGCAAAGATATTAGATGGTTATATGATTTATATGCTGGACACTCAGACACACGTATAAATAAAAGTTGGTTTGTGTTACACCTGATTTTTCAATTCAAATGTGTTTACTTTTTCTAAATTTTTCATTTAATATTATTAGCCATCCTGTGATTTCTGAAACAAGTATCCCCATTAATAAATTATAGCGTATTTTCTCAATTCAGAGTTCTTTCCGACAACAAAGTTGTCACTTTGCTGTAAAGAAACTATGGATAGTTGCTATGGTCAATCATGGTACTAAAAGAGAAAATATATTTGGTTGTTATTTCTGTAAATGTTCTCACTGAATTGTGTACATGTACAAGAAAGACAAATTTCCTGCAAGCAAGTAAATTCATGTTACCTGTCACCTGAATACTGTACCAAAAAAAATTCATGTGATGTTTAAACATAATAACATTCTTCTCCAATGTAGACGAGGGTCCAACGTATCTCTCACCTTGGACATGAGTAGCTTGGGGAACGTTGAACCCTTTGTTGCTATTCCAACCCCGCGGGAGAAGGTGGCAATGGAGTACCTGCAGTCCGCCAGCCGAATCCTCACAAGGTCACAGCTGAGGGACGTCGTGGCAAGTTCACATTTACTCCAAAGTGAATTCATGGTGAGCCTGCTATTTCTTTTTCACTCTTCAGTAGGTATTTTGATATATTATAGACACATATGGAAATGGCACTGCCTTATGCTTAAGCAGCTTCCAAGAAACAAACAGTTACAGTTCAAAAGGTAAAGAGAAATGATTTTAGATCTACCTTCTGTCTCATCAACTGTTGATAAGTGTTCACACTAGAATGTGATAGCTAAATTGAGTCAGAGTATGGAGGAGTTGGCCAGGCTAAGAAGTGGCATGCAGGACCTGGGCAGGGAAAGGGCATTTCAGGACAAAGGAAAGCCTTGTTTTCACTGGGTGGGGAATTAAATTGTTGAGTTTAACTGGAGCAGTGGGAGCAACGTGAGAAGTGGCAAAGGTTGAGCCTCCGAAGTAGGAAAGAAACCCAAGTCTTAATATATATTTAGGGGTTTGGACTTTATCTTGTGTTTTAGAAAGATCATTCTATCTGCAGTGGAATAGGTACTAAAAGGGAGCAGTTGGAGTCTCTAAAGATAATTCTGTGGAACAGGGATGGTGTTCTAAACTAAGTTAGTAGCAGAGAAAATGGAGAGAAGCTATAAGACTATAAGGATCTACAAGGAGTGGGCTTAATTGGATGAGGCAGCCAAAAGTAATGGAAAAGTCAGCCATGCTACCAGTTTTTTGGCTCAAGCAACACGGTGCATATGGTGCCCTTTGGTGAAATAAGGAACACATGAAGAAGACCAAGTGTGGGCTAAAAGTGATGGTGAGTGCAGTTTTAGACCTATCAATGTTGCTGGCAATAGCTTAATGCGTGATAACACACATCTACCCAGAGAACATGGAGACAGAATAGACCTTCTTAAGTCTAATTGTTGCCCAAGAGGAATATTCATTTTATAGATCACCTTGCATCTCAAATCAGTTGTACCTCTTAATCATATTGGTTGAGTATAATAAATTGATCATTCTAGGGTCAGTTCAGATGTTTGCAACCACCCTGATGGTAAAAGTTTCAGTAATGTGTTAGATCTACTATTAGCCCCATTAATTATTATTAAGTGTCCAAAGTAAAATACTAACATGGAGTTTTTAAAATCAGACTTTGTGGTGTGTCATCTTTTTACATGTGAAGCAAATGAGATGGCTGTAATCCCAGCACTTTGGGAGGCTGAGGTGGGAGGATAGCCTAAGGCCAGAAGTTTGAGACCAGCCTGGGCAACATAGTGAGACCCTGTCTCCACAAAAAAAAAAAATATATATATATATATATATGTGTGTGTGTGTGTGTGTGTGTGTGTGTGTATATTAATTATCTGGATGTGGTGGTGCACACCTATAATCCAAGCTACTCAGGATGCTGAGGCAGGAGGATCACTTGAGCCCAGGAATTTGAGGCTGCAGTGAGCTATAATTGTGCCCCTGCACTCCAGCCTGAGTGACACAGTAAGACCCCATCTCAAAAAAAAAAAGAAGAAGAATAGAAAAGATCAGATAATATAAGAAGTAAGCCCTGGACAGCCTACTTCCCTGGAAGGAAATATGAAGACAACAAGGAGTAGCCAGGAGAGAAATAATGCTAGAAGATGACAGATTATCAATGTGTGTCAGAAAACAGGCAGAGAAAAGGAAAAGGAAGGGGAGGAATGAAGATAATTACCTACTTTGTGCCTTTGCCAAAAGAGATTGACCTGTTGGTAGTTACCAAACATGAACATGTGTTTTCTATTGAATAGTCAACAATTTTGCTTATTTTGGTAACTCGGAACTGGGAAGTTAAAACATTTAGTTGAAACAAGAAGTAGGGATGAATATCATAAATGCCCAACATAATGTGAGTTTAGGGAAGGATGTTTAAAAAGTAAGCTGCTCCTCTCTGTAGACCAAATCTCAAATTTATAATATAGGCTGGCTTTTCTCAAATTTTCAGGTTGACTGAAAATTAGGATAATGTGAATTAATTTATAGATGATTTCTTTCTTTTCAATGAATATTATGCTGTTGAGTTATATTTTCCATTGGAGAAAGTTTAAGTAATAAAAATATTATTTTATGTGATCTAAGGATTTAATATTTAGTCATTAAATAACAAAATTTATTTTATTTTACATTAATCTTATTGCATTAATTCTTTGCAAAATTTTAAGTTAGAGAATGTACTATTTTGTGTCATCAAATCTTTAAATATTTGTTTGGACCCTTTTGAAAATGTTGGCACTTTGCTTTCTCTGTCCCAGTCAACTGCCAGTGCTCACCTTTTTAGGTCTAACGCATTTACACAGAGCCACTTCTGTTCCTGTTGTTCCCTCTCCAGTCACTTGAGGCACATAACACACATTCTGTCAGAATAAGTATATTTCTATTCTTGTTAAGTGGGAGAAAAAGTATCTGGATATTCTTCATTAAAAAATATTGCATTTACAACTACAGATGGAACAGTCCAATTATAAATCATTCCTTAATACAAAATTTTTAAAAAATCATATCATCATTACTCAAATCAACCAAAAACCCTTTATATTTACCATTTAAGGAAGGAGTTTTTAATAATCCTAACAGAGTCACTATTAATCTTAAAAGATAATCTGTCATAGACAAAAATTTGGTACTGAACTTACATAGAGATTTGAATATATTTGAATACATTGCGGTTTTTTAAATCCATATTTTAGTACCTGTCTATTAATTCCAGCAATTATGTCACAACAGGATTCCTAAAATCTAACCAAAATGTTACATGCCCCTTTAATGACACATATAAAACAATGCTTTCTAACACACACAGCTGTTTCTTAGAAGTCAGCTTGTCAGGGTGCAGCTGATATGTTTATGAAAGGAAAGGCGTTGGTCAACCAGAGGTGGTAGTCTGTTGTTTCATAAATGACTCTGAAATGCAATGGCGTTCTGGATCAGATGGTTCCCTGTGAACATTTTCTTTGTGGCAGCATTAGACACATTAATTTGATATCATTTATTTTTGCAGGAAATACCAATGAATTTTGTGGATCCCAAAGAAATTGACATTCCACGTCATGGAACTAAAAATCGCTATAAGACTATCTTGCCAAGTAAGTTTCTTGATTTAATAATTTGCATTGTAAAGCACAGACAAGCCTTCCCTCTTTACCCCTACCTCACCCTTTTCAATCCTTACAATTCCCACATACACACCATATTTGAAATTAGAAACACATATCAAGACTAATAATCATTAAAGTGGTCTGAAGTTAATAACTTTATCTTTATTGCTCTTATTATAATGCCCAGCTCACAATCCCAACAGAACACATGGTTGTAAAACTTTACTGTGCCACACATTATAGCCAATTGATTTTTGTCCAGGGTGTCAAACAATTCAATGAGAAAAGAAGAGTCTTTTCAACAAATGGTCCTGGAACAACTGGATTCCCACATGCAGAAAAATGGAGTTGGAGACCCTACCTCAGTCCATATTAAAAAATTGACTCAAAACGGATCAGAGGCCTACATGTAAGAGCTAGAACTATAAAACTCTTAGGAAAAAAGCAGGTGTAAATCTTCATGATCTTTAATTAGTCAATAATTTCTTAGCTATGACACCAAAAGCACAAGCAACAAAAAATAAATAAATTGCCTTGGTGCAGTGGCTTGTGTTTATAATCCTAGCACTTTGGGAGGCCAAGGCTGGAGGATAGCTTGAGCTCAGGAGTTTGAAACCAGCCTGAGCAAGAGTGAGACCCCTGTCTCTACAAAAAATAGAAAAATTACCCAGGCTTGTTGGCACTCGCCTTCAGTGCCAGCTGAGGCAGGAGGATCACTTGAGTCCAGAAGTTCGAGGCTGCAGTCAGCTATAAGGTTGCCACTGCACTCTAGCCCATGTGACAGAGTGAGACTCTTTCTCTAAATGAATAAATACATACATACATGCATAAATAAATAAATGGAACTTCATTAAAATAAAAAAGTTGTGTGCCTCAAAGGATACCTTCAATAAAGTGAAAAGAGAGTTCACAGAATGGGAGAAAATATTTGCAAATTACATATCTAATAAAAGACTTGTATCTAGAATTAAGAACTCTTAATGACTCAATAATCAAAGCACAAAGAACTCAATTTAAAAAATGAACAAAGCATTTCAATAGACATTTCTTCATAGAAGATATACAAATGGTCAATAAGCATATGAAAAGATGCTCAACATCATTAGGGACAGGGAAATCAAAACCACAACAAGGGTGGTTGCTCATGTCTATAATCCCAGTACTTTGGGAGGACAAAGTGGGAGGATGGCCTGAGGCCAAGAGTTCCAAGTCCAACCTGAGCAACATAGCGAGAGCCTGTCTCTACAAAAAAATAATTTTAAAAAATTAGCCCTATGTGATGGCATATGCCAGTAGTCCAGCTACTTGGGAAGCTGAGGCAGGAGGATCGCTTGAGCCCAGGAGTTCGAGGCTGCAGTGAGCTATGATCTGCCACTGCACTCCAGCCTGAATGACAGAGACCTTGTCTCTTAAAAAAAAAAAAAACTACACGCACAAACATACAAGATATCACTTTATATCCACTAGGATGATTATAATAAAAAGATAGACGATTTTTAAAATGTAGAGAAAAAAAGGATGCAGAGAAATTGGAAACTTCGTACATTGCTTGTAGAGACGTAAAATAGTGCAGCTACTTAGGAAAACAGTTTGTCAGTTTCTTAAAAGGTAACACCTAGAGTCACTATATTACCTGAACATTCCACTTCTAGGCATAATATATAAGAGAAATGAAATGTGTGTCCATACAAAAATTGTACACAAAATATTTATAACAGCATTATTGATAGTAGCCAAAAAGTGGAAACAACCCAAATGTCCGTCAACTGATGAATGGGTAGATAAAATGTAGCATACCCACACGATGGAATCAATGAAAAAGAACAAGGTGCTAACGCATACTACAACAGATACCAACCTGGAAAGTGTTCTGCTAAGTGAAGGAAGTCAGTCACAGAACACCTCGTATTTTACAATCCATTTATGTGAAATGTCCCCATAGGCAAATCTACAGAGACAGAAATTACCTTAGCGGTTGCCTAATGTTAGAGGGAGATGATGAATGATTGCTAAAGGGTCTGGTGTTTATCTGTGGGCTAATGCAAATGTTATAAAATTGATTAGGGTGATAATTGCACAACTCTATGAATTTAAAAAAAGACTGCAATGGCACACTAAATGGGTGAATTGTATGGTATGTGAATTATATCTAAATAAAGCTATAACCAAAAATCCTCACTGTGAATAACAATCACCTAGAGTCTTTGTTAGAAATCATGTGCCCAACCTCAGGGATTTTGTCTAAGTAGATCTGCTGCTGAGCCCAGAAAACTACTTAGAGCAAGCACCCAGGCAAGTCTAATGCAGATGAAACCAGAACCACACTTTGAGAAACATTATTACATGTTAAAACTAAATTTTGCTCCATGAAATTTATCAATGTCAAATGAGCTGGATGCTAGGAACCAGTAAGGAATAAGAAACAGTCTGTAAAATCAAGGAGGTCATGGACTAGAAAGGAGAGACATGTAAACAAATAATTATGATCAGTGTCCTAAGACCCAGAATAGAACTATGGCCCAGGTGGTGCAGGAGTTCATAGAGGACTGAGTAATTAATTCCTCCTACAGCAGGCAAAAAAACTTGGGAAAAGTTAAATTTTCTATCACTAAACAGAGTTGGAGTTTTAGCAAAATCCATAAACCTCTCAAAGTTCTGGAAAGATGGAGCCACAAATAATTTTTTTAAAGTATTGGCATTGAAACAGTAGTCTTCATCATTTAGTCCATTAATTCACTCCTAAGAATTCTCCATATTTGTAGTAATAGCGATACATTAAAGTCAAGTAAAGAATTACTATTAATGGCGTCTTTGGGCTTCCCCTTCTGGTGGAATTGGAAATGCATTGTCAAAGTCATTCCATTTTAACATATTTTTAACTGGTCTATACAGTTAAATCTGTTTACCTAAAGTATAGTCACTGTTGAAAGATATTCTATGACTAGACCTGGCTGAGGAGGGTGAAAGTGCTCTGTGTTAGTACTGGTGTTCCTCTCTCTCACTCTGTCTCTCTTTCTCTCTCTGATAAAATTTTCATCTAAAATATCCCAAGCATAAATAACCAGGGCATACATCACAATTACTATATATGCCCAAACCATCATCTAGTTTCAGAAGGATTTGGAAATTATCAGGATTATTTCAAAGTCCAGCCTTCTCCATTTCCTGCCCAGATGATATCAGACAGCGGCTTCATAGTCCTGTGTCAGCTTTTCCATTCCCAGAACTGGGTGGACCGCTTGAACCAGGGCACCTGTGCTGACAACTGATGTTGCACATGTTGGATTTTCTGCTGAAAATGTCTGCAGCCTGAATACCCCACCCACCCCCTGTTGCACACAAAATGTAATTTAGGAAATACAGCTTGGACAACACACACTATTGGTTGAAAAGTATCCAAAAAGACTGGAAGACTAGGCAAAGCTGTTCTTTTTGGTTTATTTTAGACTGCAATATGAAATAAACTTGAAACATTACATAAAATAATGATTAGCAGATGATCAAGATTTTAAACATTAGGATGGTTTTTCTTATTTTAACCTACACTAAATTCCTCTTAGGTTTCAAAGTTTGCTAGCTTGTACATAATATCAACATTATAAAATTTGGAGGATGCTTTGCAGCAGATATATGACTAGCCAAGAATCAATTAAGTTGTAAATTAAATTATAGCCATCTCTGAGGACAGTATCAGCCAGGCTCAGAACACTCTGAATGGTAGATTTAAATGCTAATGTCAAGTTTATATCAAATTATTTTGCAATATAAACAAATATTAGTGATAAAAATACATCTACATCCTAAATCACAAAACAATGAAAAAAAACAATCATATATCAATATGAAATTATTAGCACATAATGAAGTATAATACTGTAATAATAAATTTTATGTATTTTTCTTCCACGCAGTCAACTTATTTATACAAATATAAGACAATATAGACAAAATTAAGGAACTCTACTTATTAAGGCCATTATTTCATATTTAAAAATGTAATGTCTAGTAATGTTTCCTGCTTAAATTATGTTTCCTCTTTTATTATATTAAGTGCCTAGCACAGAGTAAGTTCTCAAATAAGTAAATCACTCACTAAAGCAACAAATTGTGTAGCTAAAGTGAGATATTTGAATAAGATTTGATTTCCTACCCCAGCAAAAACATTTACAATTTTTGGCAGGTTACTTAATCTTCCTGTGCCATCCTTTCTTCATCCCTAAAAATACTGATAACAATACTATCCTACAAGGCTATTGAGAGAATTAAATGATAATATGTATAAAATGCCTACCAAAGTCCCAGCTAATAATAAGCCCTTAGCTAATATTAGTTTCTCCTTTCCCTTCCTACCTAACTGAAGATGAATCTATCATTAACCCCAGAACCAATTCCAGAAAATAGGGCAACATCCATATAGAGACACGTTCATAGTTTCAAAAGCAAAGTACTCAAGAGCCCTATTTTCTCTTGTAATTTTCACATGGTTCCTAAAAAGTAAATGTTTATGTAATCACCATCTTCCATTGCCAAGGTCAATTCTCCCACAGTGATGACAAAATGGTTTATTTCTCCAATACAATAGGCGCAAGCCATATGCAGCAATCGAGCACTTGAAATACAGCTACTGAAGAATTAATTTTTAAGTTTTATTTTATTCTGATTAACTTAAATTTAATTAGCTACATGTCGCTAGTGGCTACCTCATTGGGCAGTGCAGGCCTAGAGTCCTCTCTCCCTGCAAGAAGTCTGAAAGTAACTCGTGGTCACCTAGAAGGTAAAGGTGTGACCAGCCCCTGCTTTTCTCCCATTTCCCATTTACCTGGAATTCATCTATGAAAACCATCCTTTTCCTCCCATTCATGCCTTTGCCCATCGCTTGCAGTGATACAATTTCCCCCATCTATTAATAATTACTTCTTCTCTTGACTTCAAACCTCAAGCGCATTTCTTCCTGGAGGGGAAACCTTAAGCACAGGGATAGCCTTTGA